TAGTAAAGCAGTGCATATGTTTTGAAAAGCTTTCCGGAGCATTATTTCGTGACAGATGGTCGCTCTCGGACGCTTGGCTCTCGTCGGTCTGATCACAACTGCAACCTCGGGCGTCGACGTTCTCTCTCCTAAAGATTCAGAGCGCACAGGCTCAAAATTTTTTAAGATGGCTGGTTGCCCTAGCAATTTCTGAGGGGGATGGGAGTCCTCAGGCAGACAGGGCGGTCTGTGTCAAGGAAGTTGTTTCTCTCATTTCGATCCATCCTTTTGAGCACCAAGGAGACCCGTTACCTTCCCCGGGCAAGGGGCTTCATGGGCAGAACACTAGGGGTACATAGCCTTTCTCGGTCAGGGGCTTAAGGGCTCTTCTGTCCCAGTCTGGGGTACATTCTGGCTGTCGCTCTGGCGAAGCGGGGGTCGGGGCGGAGAGAGCTCTCCCCCTTCGGTACTGGAGTCCCTGATTGACACAGGGCCATTCCATTTTATCTTTGAATATGCATGTGTGTATGTATTTGGTCTAAAACTCAGCCATCAAATGTCGCATTCGAATTTGCGTCCAGTACATGAAGTACTGGGGTGCATTTGTCATTGAATGTGCATGTGTATATGTACTTGGTCTAAAACTCAGCCATCTGATGTCTTTTTCGCATTTGCGTCCAGTACATGAAGTCACCACAATGTAGGAAAGCTAATCGCCTTATGCCTATCAGTTAAATACAACACGAAATATGCGATACTGCCAGGAACCAAAAACAAGGTACAGACCTAAAAACACTACAAATGTGTAAATACAAAAAAGGCATGCAGGTATGAGTGTGCATCAGCCACAAGATCACCGCATCGCAAATCTCCGCCCAGCTGTTCACGTCCGTCGCAGCACGCTTGAAGGCGGACAGTGAGCGGTACTCACGTACACCTAATGTCAGCCTATTCCACGAGGACGACGCTCGGTATCGAAAGCCCTCTGCGAGCATGCCAGCCGGCGTTTTGGCAGCTCCAGCCGTCCTGCTTCCGTGGAGCGAGTGGCACGGTGGGACACCGAGGGCCTGGCGGTGAACATGCTACGCAATGCGGGGGCTCCTTCTGGTAGTCAAAACCCTTATAGGCTTCGATGACGCCCCGCACCTCGACTAACCGCTCTTCTCGGTCCCATCTCAGAGCCTGGAGTGCCGGACCAATCCTGTCCTGACGCGGTGTCACTGTCACAACCCTGACGGCAACACTCATCGCTTTCCGGATCTTGTAGTCGATTTTTGGCCGCGCTTCCCCATGCCCAGCAACAAGGCAGAGCACACGGGAATACGTGGGTTTTTGTCAAAAGTTTTAGCATGTGCTGGGATAAGTGGTGCCGCCGGCGAAAAAGATATATTAAAAGGGCGTTGCACGTCTTGACCACTTGACCAATGTACGAATCCCAGGACAGACCGGGGTCGTTGACGACACCGAGCAGCCGAGCAGAGCGAGAGGGTGACATGCGGGCGCTGGCGACAGCCGAATGAAAGCTTTCGCCCTTCTTAAATTTTTCCCTCTTCCAATAAGAATGAACTCAGTTTGTTAGGGCTCATTTTGGGAGTTCGGGGGGATCAGCTCTCCGTGGTCTCCAAAGTATGCTCAATTTGCGTCTGGAGAGCAGTGAGCTTTCGGTCACCTGCCTTCGCTCGGTCCAGTTTCTGGGTGTCTTTAGCGGACATGATGACTCGACAGTTGGGCGAGTAGCACGGCAAGCCGTTTGTCAGACGACTGAACTGGATCGGTCCGGCTGTCGATCCCTGTGGTACGCCGTGGGTGACGGACAGGGAGGGGGGGGGGGGGGGGGGGTCGCACTACCATCTCTGGTCACTTGACTCCGTGCGATGAGGCAGCTTTTGAACTACGGGGATCAAGTTCATATCATACCAGCTTGTCAAGGAGGACGCCGTGGTCGACGCTGTCGAAGGCTTTGCTCAGGTCAGCTGCTGTGATCGATGATGTCACCGCTGTGTAAATTGTGCGATGCCTAGTCGACAGCGTCGCGTACCGTATCCGCCGCAGAATGGCAGCGGTGGCAGCCATACCGTTGGCCGAACATGATACCGCTATCAGTGAGGTTCCGAGATGATTGGTTACAAGGTACTCTTTCAGTGACTTTGGGTATGTGAGACGGCAGGGAAATAGACCGAAAGTTAGACGAAACTTTGCGTCACCAGATCCGAAAATTGGCACAACAGCAGCCACTTTCCAGGATTCTGAGAACGCACATGACGCGATGGTTGTGTCAACGAGTCGCAGCAAGTGGAGTGCAAAAACAGCCAAACAGCGTTTCGCCGCTCTCAGAGGGGCACCGTCGATGCCGACCGCACCCGACGCGTTCCTAGCTCTCACGGTGCGGCCCAGCTGCGGCAGTTTGATCGGATGCGGCTTAACGCGGCCACCAGACTTCCTGAAGACTCTTTCGATGCAAGTTCTCATTGATCATTCCACTCTCAGAAGATCTTTTGATAGCCCAGCACAAGGGGCCCACTGACATCTGACGGGGTTCTGTCCCCGTCCCTGTTTAGTGGATGCGCCCTTCGCCGACTCGGGTCCTCGTGCCAACACAGGACTTCCTGTTAGGCACTGTGGGCTCCTGACCGACACAGCCTGCCTCACGTTGTCCCAGGGGCCCGACCGATGTAAATCGCGGGTTCCGGTCTCGTCCTTGCATGGGAAATGGGCCACGGCGCCCCGACTGTTGGTGGTTTTTGTCCGACATAGAGGCATCCTTGCCCCAGGGTCCCTTGATCAACACAAGGGGCCCTCATCCTAGTACTTGAGGGCCCAGGCCTGCGGTTCCGGCCCCTGAAAGCGACTCGCGATGAGCTCTTTTAGCCTTGATCAACGGTCCTAAGGGGCCCGAAGGTCCCCTCGGGACCAACAATCTCCTACGCCCTTGCTGCCATGAGCTCCTCACTCATGTGGCGGAGCTCAGGGGTGAAAATAGTGCTTCTAATGGTGCTTCTGGCAAAATGAAACGAATTGGTTACCCGTTTACCGCAGAATTCCTTGGTCTGGATCAGCGTTTTGTCTGAGCTCGCGTCTCAGTTTTGACAATCAGCGTGCCGCTAGCCTGAAGTCCAATTTGAAGGTCAGATGCGCCCCAGATCTCCAGAAGTGGCTTCGAGGGCGAGAAGACGCTGATTATGCGAAACAAGACCCTCTCACTCCTGGGTTGCACTACCACGTAGGAACTAAGTTGATCTAGGCTCTTCTTAGGGGCCTGCCTTGGCCGAACGCTTTCAGAGCACTAGCTGCCGGCGCGTCACGACAAACTCTCAGCAGAGGCGGAGTCAGAGGCCGTGGACGAGCGTGGGTCAGTAGGGTTGCGGGCTGCGAACTCGGCGTTCCTACACCCAAACGCGGGTGTCGGAGGCCAGCGAGTCGACAGGTGCGGGCGCACAGCGGTCAGTGACGGAGACGGTAGAATCAGCGCGCGCGGGTCATCGCCATATGGTCGGTGTTATCCGACGGGCAATTCATATCGCAGGCCGGGTCCGAGTCCGTGCCTGAGTTATCCCGTTTCCTTTTAGCACGTCTCTCGCCCATGGCGGACAAGAGTGCGCTTAAGAGATATGAAAAGTTGAAAACGTAATTTGGGGAACGAAGACGAAAATAAGCGAAGAAAAAAGTGGCACAGATCTCCTTGGCAGAAGGCCGCGACAGTGTCAACCCCAACCTCGACGCGCAGGAAATGTCTCGCCATACGGGTGAGGCCACGGATTTGGGTCGACAATATCTGCGATTATCAATGTGGGCGGTGCAGTGCTTTTAAGTACCGGAACATCACAACCCACGCGCTCTTGGGCTCGATGTCCCGCGGTGTCCGCCTTTCCCGTCAGGGTGAGTTTTGCGACGCCTTAAAGCCGCACCAGTTGAGTGCGTCGTAAAGCCCCAATGACACCGACTCTTGCGCTGGTGTGTCCACCACGCACTTTCGGGCACACCGCACGTTTGATGTAAAAGGGGACAGGGCGTTTTTTGAGTCTGATGAAATCCAATGTCATGTATCACATCACAGGTGACACAAGCACAATTCCATCCCAAATGGCTAGCCCGGTATAGCCTTTTCCACGTGTTAAGCGTGTCCAACACATATTCACATGTGTCACCAGCACACTTGACCTCGGCACACTTGAGTTTATCCCAAACAGTTAAGTGATAGTTAGCCTTGGACAAGCGGGTCACATCTCTCACATAGCTAGGTGACAGTGCCTTATGCGACCAAGCGAAACCTCGCCTTACCCAGTCGCCTGCCTTGACCCCGCAGGAGCGTGAGAAACTCTGAACAGCAGGGCTAAAGCGATAATTGCTGTAACACTTCGTTGAAAATGGCTCAGAAAATGCAGGAACGGTGGGTGCCGGATAGCCAAGACGCGGAGATGGTCGGGTTGGAGGGCGCCTTGGCGTCCAATGTCACCGCGCACAGACATGAAAGGGAACCGGTCCGCGCACATCATTAACCCTATTTCTGTCGGATATGCGATACCGTGTTGGCACCAAAAAAATATAGGCACGAGATAATAACAAAATGGCCCCAAAATTTCTTTGCCCACCAAATAGCAAACGCTGCTTTGATGTGTAGTGGCAGTTTACCCAGATGGATTGCTACTTTTGCGAACCGATTGTGCGAACATTCATGGTAAAGTTACGCACAGTTTAGGCTTTCGCCTGTCGACATTTGCGATGGACGCGCCAGGCCGCAGGACCATTATGTGGTTTCCGCGACGGCGGTGCTTTTCGACAGCAGCGGTATTGTTTTGCGAACTATTTGCGCCCACAAACACATCGGATGCTCTCCTCAGCTACGGGCAAACCTCTGTAGTCTTGAGCAACAGGTCGTAACATGGACTTTCCCCAAAGCGTGCCAAGGCTACAAAGCATGAGGCTAATGCAACCGCAGTTTTAGCTGTACATTAGAGTGCCCCGTTACATTCTTCAGTACTTGTCTGCTACCTTGACTGTCTGATCTCCGCCATAAATCCAGATAAAGGAGAGTATAATTTACTTTGCAGACAACAGCGGTTGCCATTTCGAACGAAAACGAACACATGCGAGGCATACACAAAATGAGGAGGGGTGAATTTTAACTGAAATGCGAGCCAGCAGAAGGCACTTCTACACTATCGCATTGCACACGTGCCGGCGCAGCGGCACCAGGTAATACTACGCGGATTTCAGTTGGGATCGAGGCCAGCCACCACATTCGAGTGATAGTTGTCACCAAACCGCGATGAAAGGCCATGGCTTCAACTTAAGACATACGGACATGAACAAACTTCAGAGCTTCAGTTCCATTTCATTATATTAAACCCCACCCAGCCAAGTCAAAGTAACAAAATCGCGCTTGCATTCTTGTCGCATCCAATTGAACCATGTTGCATACGACTGGTGTTCAAAACTGGCAACAGGAAAGTTTTCTAAACACCACCCGCGTTCAGTCTGAGCAACATGACCACCACTCACGGAGGCTTCGCAAGCCGACGCACCAGGAAACCACCAGTGTCACACAGCGGCGTTCACTCAGACTTAAAGTTCTCCCACCACCCGCTAGGTGACACCCTACTCGCGCTTCTTGATGGCGTCAGCTCGCTTTTCCCGTAGAACGGTGTCGTACTTGGACTTGGACGAATACCAGAGCATGAACGGGATGCCAAGCGAGGGCAGCGTCATGACGGCGAACACGATCCAGTCGAGCTGCAACAGACGACGCCACGTCTCAGGGATGAGGTACACCAGCTAGACCGTCACGGCTGCGTTGCGGCCAAAAGTACGTATGACATTCGCCCGTCAGATTAAGTCCGCATGACTTAATTTCGTCAGGATTGGGTACCCAGGGTATCAAATTGGTAACACCAAAAGTTAACACTGAAAAATAAATGACCTGTTCAGGAACGATATCATTCATCCACCATCCCGAAGTCCATTTTCTGCATGGATCGCCTTAGGCTTTATGTTCGCCAGCCTCGGAAACTGCGGGTGAACCCACGGACCCCCGTTCCCACGCCTATGTTGCTCAAGGATTATTCAGTTAGTACATTTACCAAAACACACACACAATGCTGTCCTGACGAACTTTGTTGATGCAAACATTTTGCATGAGCGCTTAACACCACACAAACATTTGTTTGCGGGCTTTTGCGCACGTTCTCTGGCCATGCTGAACTAAATGCCTTACGTACATTTTCTTGCGAGAAAATGCGTACGTATTCTACGCGTAAGCACCTTACCGCGCGTACTTTTGACAAAAAACCGTCAGGGCAGGTTGACAGTGTTTGCTGGCGGGATAGTGGTGCGAAGTGAAATCTCCAGGTATTCGGAATAAACTAATTGCAGTGTCTGCCAATAGCCATCACTATTGAGATGCCATTGGTCCCAACTAACGAGTCAAGGTAGAGGCCTGAACCATTGTCTCTGGGCGGCAAAGCCGCAGCAAGGGCGTCCCAGCACAGCACATTGGCCTTCTCAGACCAATTACTTTCAACCAAATACAGTGATTCAGAGGTCGCTATCATCGCACACGGCGACTGCCTCCCCGCTTCGCCCGTGGCCAGCGCCAGCCGGGCGCCGGAGGGCGCGCTAGTCGCCAGGCGGCGCCACGCACCAGGTGCGGCGAGAACTTCTTGTCGTAGTCGCGGAACGACACGATGCCGCCCTCTCCTGGCTCGCTGGTGAAGCCGATCGTCGGCTGTCGGGCAGGGGAGGGAGCGGTCGGTCGCGCGCCACGTCAGCACGGCACGGCGCGAGCGGCAGAGGCCGGGGCCGCTGCTGGCCACCGCCAGCTCAGCAGCGCGCCATCGGCACGGCTCATCGGATCACTCATCACGGCTCGTCGTCAGCACAGTCGGCACGAGCGGTGATGACGGTGAAGCGCCGGGTCAGCTAGCGTCAGGTCAGACGGGACTCGAGGTCGCCCGGCGTCTCAGTGCATTCACAGTCGATACAGTCCAGAGCAATGAACACAATTATCATGCACTTGGTAACTACAGTCTAGTGACATGAAGCGAAATAACCAATCGGTGTTTAATCATGCAGCACCAAAGGCGTGCCCTCTCTCCCCGACCCATCTCCATGGCCAGCTCGCTGGCCAGGTAGGACACCTGGGCGTGCGTTCTCTCCCCGGACCCACCTCCGTGGCCGTCTCGCTGGCCAGGTAGGACACCTGGGCGGCCGTGAAGTTGAAGTAGCCGTACTTGAGCGGTCGCACCACCAGCGTGTGCGAGGCGTTGGCGCCCGGCGCCAGCCGGTCCAGCACGAAGTGCGACTGGCCGGCGACAGTGGTGAAGTCGAGCGGTCCAAAGCTGGCGTCTTCGACCTGCACGTTCAACGCCGCCGCCGAGCCGACGTTGTACAGGGCGTACCGCACCACCACGTCCATGCCCTCCACCAGGTACTTGTTTAGGATCTGTGTGCATGGAGTGGAGGTCAGTTGTTGACATGGTGGCAGCTGTTGATGGATGATGTATCTCTGTAAGACTGGGAGCATGTGTCTTTAAACAAGTTCAGCTGCATTAATAGATATGATGACAAATTGCACCAAACTGATAGCACAAAGGCTGGGATATGCTTGCTCGAAGGCAGTGAACATATTATGCAGGTGAGATTCACCTGTAAATCTGTCAATGTCTACACATAGTCAATACTGGAAAATACAAAGTGTCAAGCCACATGAAAATATCATACAGCCGTAAAAGACATTGTGTTAAATCAAAGTACGCATATGCACACATTTAACAATCTCATCCTGATGTCAAAGTTCAAATTACATTTATGTGAAACTGTGTTAGAATATAAAGTAGAAGCTTACCAGCTTAGAAACAAGTATCCTTGCAACATTGTCCTCCTCCACTTTAAACTGATCTTCTGCTGTGACATCACCAGTTCCAGGTGCTGACAGGGCCAACAAGCCAAGGAAACACAACCACTTATGCATGATCTGAAAAGGGCATCCACAGTTCATGATGCCAATGATGCTAGCCAACTAGCCAATGATGCCTGGTCGCTTTAAGAACAGGACATGTTGAGAACAGTGAGCACATTTTACAACATTTTCTTAAAGTTTGCACAAAGGCCTGTGTCCCACCTTAAGTGTATGTAAAACTGGAATGTATTTCCCATTCATCATGACAATGACTGGGGTGAAAGAAGCCATTTCACAGATCCATTGCTTAGTTGGTTATTTGGGCTTTGGGGTGCATCAACTGCTTGATGTATTCATTGGCTAGTTGTGGGACTTTTGTGGACAGAAAACACCAGCTTTAGAACAACCTGGGCTGTCAAACAGCTTTTACCAGTATCTCCCAAATTTGCACGTGCTGTTGAAGTTAAAGATAATGAACTGTTCCCAGTTTTGCAGACATTTTTTAGATAAATTTGGTCCGAATCTTTTGAGTGGATGGATTTCTGGGATCAGCGCTCATGCTAAGCAGTGCTTGTTGTGTGAGCCCTGACCCCCACCATCCGATCGCGCAGTTCCAAGGCAACGCCAGAATTTAGTGGCGAAAGCTTTATGTGCCGCAATGCTTGGCACAGTCCGTCCTGCCCTCTGACGTCAACTGACCTTTAGCACGACCCCTGCCACCGGCTGCAGGCCATACCTGCCAAGGGCAAATAGCGAGCGCCCTAAAGCGAACCCATCCGGACGGATGAGTGGGTCGGAATGCAGGCGCTCTAACCAACTGAGCCACCCGGACGGACATTTTGAGGCAAAACAGATATAATTTTTTCCTACAAAATTTGACCTGACAAAATTTCATCAATGCAAACATCTTCTACAAAAATTTTGCACCAAACAAACATCTGCTCACAGACTTTTGGAAGCAAACTATTGTGCATATGTTCTTACCATACCAATTTGTATTACACCAATGCAAAGGCCTAAACCATTGCCTGTGGGTGGCCAAGCCATAGCAGGGGCTTCTCAGCACTGCATATTGGCATGTATCAGGCAAATACTTCCAGCCAAAGGCAATGATTCAGATGTGCCTATGTGAAGATACATAGACCTAACCAGAGCCTTGACTATGGCTAGGCATGGACAGACATGTGTGTAGATGTGGCTTACACTTCCATGCATGTATGTACTACTACATCTGCTACACCCACATCTGCACATCTTCTGCACAAATCATTATTTGTAACACAGAATACAGGCATTTGGATAGTCTTCCTTATTATGATGGGCAAGAGATTGGGAATGGAATAGCATTGTAACAGCCTGCATCCCAAAATGCAAATGCAAGTAAAAAAGCATGGCCACATGGGTAATAATGCCACAAGAAAGTGCCAAACTGTTCAAAACATAATCAGGCATGCATATGGCACCAATACCACCTTGCATCACAGGGAAGAACAAGCAAGCTGGCCTGGCCTCTAAAATAATTGCAAAAATAGCAATTTTAGCAAGGAGCTTTGAAGTCATACAAACTTTCTTTGAAATTGTCAAACTATGCTGCACTGAGGGGCATTTTTATAAAGCTTGTTTTGTAAACAGCATTATTCTGCCCTAATAAGCATGTCAACAGTTACAAGTAATCTAAGTTCCATCACATCTCATGCTTATTTCAATGTTTTCAAGGTGGAAAATGTAGGATGTGTGCCACACAACATTATGTTATGACTTTTCAAAAAGGTATTTCAAGAGGAAAATGTAGTTATGTTATCATATATTTCATTATACTATATTTTCTTTATCTCCTTACAATATAACTGTCCTTATGACATATTTGTTACCTATATGTTATAAAAATTCCATTACTGATACCATGTCTGACATATTTTGGTCAGTAAGCAGTATCTCAGAAGCAAAAATACCAGTTGCACATATAGCTGTGCATCCACTGTATACATCTGCATTGTATTTATGCAACATATGGACAAATTCATGTTCTGATAAGATCTGCAGTCAGCACCATACAGTCCCTTAGGAATGGGGTAAGTGAGTTTGCCTATATAAGGGACAGCCTGCTTGATGGGTATGATAAACTATTGCTTTAGGTCACTTATACCACACTTATCCCAGTATCAGCCAGTCAAGCAATTGGTTACTTTAACGTCATAAATGCTGATAAGGCAGACCACATTGTCAGCACATTTTTTACATATTCATATGGAGAAGACTTGACCAAGAACAAGTTCAATAGTCCTGCATTTAGAGTAAAATCTAACACGTTAAGCACCTACCAACATCATGCATTAAAACATGCAGAAGAGGGAAGGGAGCTGGAAAATAATAATTCATATAAGGAGTTCAACAGCCATTCCACACACTTCTCAACAAACGGGAACTGGCCAAGAAATTGGTATTTTAGGTGGCTGGCAGTAGTAATTCAAAACATACATGGGTACAACGCTTAAAGTCAGTGTGAGCTGCACGCAATATGAACACATCTCAACGTCAAAACGTGGTCGTAAAATCTCGCAGCAGAGCAACAAAAAACGAAAATTTCAACCCGCCCAAACTCATAATCATGACTAACGTTTCCGTTTAAGTCTAGGTCTCACCCTAAATGAAAAAATAAAACGCCGACTTATCCCTACCGCAGAATATCGAAGGAGCCACGGGAAAGGACTTCTCGGCGGAGACTTGAAGCCGGGGAAAGTGAAGCATTTATCACGCACTGATACAATTTTGGTGTGTTGACCAGGAAATCCGTTACGTTAGGAAAAGTGTGAATGCTCGGATGAGTTTAACAGGTGAAACAAAGCTATGATGTAAAAATTAGCTTAAAAATAACATAAATAATGGTTTTAAAAGATCAATGTTCTCTTTTAGGCAACACAATTTAAAGAACATCAACGTGAATTTTGTCCTGCTTAGAGGGAAGAATTCAGCGTCATTTTTCCTACTGTTTGGTAGCATGTTCTGTCATTGGAGTGTGGCCGACGTGGAAACCGTAACGCCACATAGCGAGGATAAGAAATTACTATTGTTGCGTTCAATCTACTCACTAATTTCTTATCTATTGATAAAAAACTTCTCAAAAATTTCTGATTAAAACTCTCATGACAAAAACTGATACATTTTTCGTTGATATCTATTCCATTTAATAAACAACTTGGCTTTCAAAAAACATGATGCGGCGAAAGCGGCATATTTGAAAATAGTTTTGATGCACATTGCTGGAAAATCAAAACATTATATCCGCGGCCAGGTTAGAAGTGTACGTTTCCCCCTGATTTCCGCATGAGGACATTGTTCGTACCTTATTGGCTTGCATGACCGCATCACATTTAAGTGCTAGCTAAGGGAGTATGGATATTTTTCTCAGCTCAGGGGAATGAGCTAAATGTACGGCGCATTGGTTCGAGTTTGGCAAATTGGCAATAGGGACAGCTGTGGAAGATGAGTGCAGCTCCACTTTTTGTTATGCTAGATTCAGCCTCCAAATTAAACCCCCATATCCTGAGCTTTAAGAGGGCAATGTTCTGAATTTGAGGAGAAGCAGCATTTAGCATAAATATGGGGATAATTGTAATAGGCTTTGCTTGGGTCGGCCCATTCAACTGCTTGAAATGATCTTGGAAAACTATGCTGTCATGCAGAACTAAGATGCTGTTCAAAGTTTGTATGATATTTACAACCTTTGGTGTTGCCTTGCCAAAATCCTGCCAATGGTACAAGAGATGGCTGAAAGGTCAGCCTGTTTTGAGCCTGGGTATATTTGAAATATGCTAGATGAATTAGTTCTTGTAGACCTGCTGATAGGCTTGAATTATGTCAGATGAGTTGGCTCTTCTTGACATGCAGATGTTTGGTTGTTTGTTTCCTATTATGTCATGCTCCAAATGTGTGCTACAATATTATGTTGATGCATGATGCCATAAGATAACATGGTTGTCATGTTTGAATCTGATTTGACAAACTGCTGACTGACCATTATGGATGAGCTTTAAGCCACACAATATTATGATGTATGGTACTTTCCTAGTGGAACCATGTGTACCAAGTTTATTGACTTTTGATATTTTTGTGTTTTTACCCACACAAGATTTTGGTATCCTCATGTCAATATAAGAATAGGCAGAAAGCTTGTTTTGTTACTTGCTACTGCATGTTTGAAAAACATGAAGACACCAGATTATTTTTTCAGTGGTTACTTTTTTAACCATGTGCACTTATGTACTGAAAACTGACTTTTTGGAATGGGTAGTTGTTAGAGTCAGATCAATCATATCCCACCCCTAGCAACCACAAATGCTGTGGCTATCTATTCTGTTCAGCAAAACATCAGCCAGAAAATTTTAGCAACTGAGTTTTAAATCACTCAGTGACAGAATCCCATGGATTGTGGTTACATAACTCATTATGTCCCGTTCCCACATCCTTAATATGTTCTCTAGCAAGAAGATCTTAAGGAGAACTTATTACACAGAACCCATGTCTGACCTAGTCAGCTCTCAATACATGATTTACCAATTGGAGGGACTTGATGTTTTCACAGTCACTGAATGATGGAGTCTGAGCCAGAGGAGGCGGGGCACTCCCACACTGGCCCATTGTCACGTGGCCCCTTCAGCTCGAGGAAGAGCCTTGGACGATGGTGAGTAGCAGTGACAGCAGCTGTACTAGTCATTGCCTAAAAGTTGTTACATATTCTGGTATGTTCATGACTTTTGAAATGTAATTTTTCCATACCTACTGTATTATGTCCAGGACGATTTGCCGCTGCGCCCAGAGAGCTCTCCTTGTGGTCAGCCCATACCTCTGTGTGGACTGCGCACTGGCACATGGCGCGTTCTCAGTGTGAGCACACACTCCTCTCGCTGCCGTGGACCAGTGGCCGGCGCCCCCGCTGCCGCCGTCCGCTGCCGCCCGCCCCCGCCCGCCCTCACCCGGCCGCTCTGATCTCTCGTTGCAGTCTGACGCTGCAGGCGCAGCGGGTGCCGGTCAGCTCGATCCACGACGGCCAGAGCGACGACGAGGACGAGCCGGACGAGGCCACGCCGTCGCTGGGCTCGGCCACGGCCAGCACCGTGTCGGCCATCCTGGCCGCCGGCAGGTCAGCCGCCAGCCGTCCCGGCCGTAGCCCGCCGCTCGCCACCAGCCTCAGTGGCAATGGTGACAGTGGCAATGGCAATGGCAGCGGTGTCAGGCGTTGGGGGTGGAAGGCATTTTTTAATTGGTTAGGTGCGATGGCTTTTTTATGAATAGTTTCTTGTGCAATTACCTCTTGCACTTTGCGATTGCTGCTAATGATGCATTGATGCACGTGCCCGCGCTGGATGGGTGGAAATCGAAGCTTTGCGTGGTAGGTAATTGTCACGGGACGCGAACGCGTGACCGCCTCAAAGTCGTATCGAAGAATGGGATGATATCGCCAATGGTCTTTGTGTTGGAGCGATGCATTACGTTACATCATTTCGCCGTAGAATCGTCCATTCCCTCGCACTTCGTTTGTAATGAATGATATCTCATTCTATGTATCTTGAGCCAGGCGCATGTGACGAATGCAGCAGCGTGCCTGAGTCGGTATGGTAGGGGCGCCTGGTGCGGTTGCTCGGCGTGAGGCCGCGCCTCACTCCTCTCCCTGCCGGCAGGCGCCTGGGCCGATACCCGAGCGGCGGCGACCTGGCGCCCACCGACAGGACCGGCTCCGGTCCGGACAAAGAGAACGCCGCCGGCCGCCGCGCGCCGCACCCGTACGACCTGCTGACGCCGATGCCGCGCCGTGGCGCCACCCCCTCCGCCGGACGCACTCCGCACCTCATCACGCCGTACAAGGACACGGCGACGGCGGCTGCTGCAGCCGGCCGCACGCCGCGCCAGCCGCTCGGAGTGCTCGACACGCCGTACAAGGAGGCGGCGCCGCCGCCGCCGCCGCCGGCCGCCAGCGCTGTCAAGCGGCCGTTCCTGTTCGGCGACGGCGGCGGCAGCGGCGGCGAGAAGCGGCAGCCGCTGACGCACGCGCGCTCGCAGGCGTCGCTGCCGGGCGAGCGGTCCGGGGCGGGCCTGAGCCGCGTCCTGTCCGAGGCTGGCTGCCAGGCCGACCGGTGCCGCCGCGGCTCCGCGCTGTGCCCGAGTGCCCCGACGGGCCGGCGGCGGCGGCGGCGGCAGCTGCCGGCACGCCACCCGAAGCGGCCTCCCTCCACGACGCCGTGCTCACGCCACCAGACCAGATGCTGCCGCGCGCTGCGCTGCCAGCCTCGGCGCCGTCGGTCGGGCCCTGCCGCGCGTAGCTCACCAACGATGTCGGCGACGACAACGGCAGTGACGACGGCGGCCAACGCGGCTGCCCGGCCCGGTGCCGAGGCAGCGTCTCGTCCCGCCCTGCATCGGACGGCCGTCGTTCCTGACGGGCAAACCGACGCCAGTGCGCAGGAGTCTCGTGCCGGGCCCGGGGCGCGGGGTACGCCGGCCCCATTCTCGGCCCCGGCTCCGGACGGCCGCGCCAGTTACGTGCTGCAACATTCGATGGCCGCCAGCGCCGGCTCCCGAGCCGGTGTCGGTGCTAGTGCCGCGACGCAGGGAACTCGTGTGGGGCCAGGCTCGCAGTGGTCGGCGGTGACGGCCCCGGACAGTCGGCTGAGTCACGCGCAACAGCCGCCGGCTCCGTCCGGGGGGAGCAGCCGCACCAACGCGGCGCCGTCCCAGCCCGTGGTCTCTGGCCAGAACGGTTGGGCGGACCCCGCGCCGCAGCCCAGCCGAGAGAGCAGTGCGCGGCGGCCTGTGGGCGGACCGCTCGCCGCTGCGCCGCCGCCAAGACCCAGCTCGCTGATGGCCGCGGCGGGCGTGCCGGCGCCCGGACCCACTGCGGTGACCGCGCGACCGGTCGCACTGCCCCCGGCGCCAGTCAGAACACCGCCGGCGCCCGCGGCACCCCCAGCACCCGCTCCCGTGGCCGCTGTAGCCGCCACGGCCGCGCCGGTGCCCCGGCCTGGCGACCCCGCGGCGGGCACTGGCCGCGCCCCGGCCCGCCCCGCCCGCCTCCGGGTCGGTGGCGGTGACCCCGGCGCCCACCGGGTCGGCGCCACGCTCGGCAGCCGGCGCTCGGGCGGCAGTGGTGCCCGTGAGAGCGCCAGCCGGGTCCGCCGGCCCGGGCTCGGCACGCGTCCCGCTGGCGGTCGGTCGGCCGGTGCCGGTGGAGACCGGTACTCAGACGGAGGACGCGGCTGCGGGCCATGCCGCCGCCGCCCACCGAGCTGTTCTTTCGGCAAACGACAGCTGCGCACTCTGACCGTCAACGGCAAGGACTACATCGTCATGAAGCAGATCGGCCGCGGTGGCTCCAGCAAAGTCTACCAGGTGAAGTATTGTCACTGGATATATATAATATAGATATAGATATAATAGATAGATAGATAGATAGATAGATAGATAGATGATAGATAGATAGATAGATATATATATATATATATATAATATATATATATATACATATGCGTGCGTGCGTGCGTGCGTGCGTGCGTGCGTGCGTGCGCGTGCGTGCGTGTGTGTGTGTGTGTGTGTGTGCCGTCTGGTGGACGATCCGTTTCAGTGAGGCGCGGGGGGGACACAGAGACGTAACTTGCCGTACGATAAACGAGTTGGAGGGCTCGATCACAGGCGGTATTGCCGTCATCTGGGGCGCTCCCTCTTTCCTCCGATCCGCTCCACACTCTCCCATCTCTGGTGGGTTAGTTCCACATGTATGCTTCTTCTCTGACGTCGGTCGTGGCTGGACCTGGGCATCCGACGCGGCCAAGGCTCCGTCGGCGCTCCCGGGCGCTGGCGCCACCTGCGGCCCCGCTGATGTCGCCCCCGCGCCGCTGACGTCCCCGCCGCCGTCCGCCCCGCCGCAGGTGTTCGACAGCGACATGCGCTCGCTGGCCATCAAGCAGGTGTTCCTGGAGAGCGCCGACGACGCCACGGCCAGCGGCTACAAGAACGAGATCGCGCTGCTGCGGACGCTGCAGCACTCGGACCGCGTGGTCCGCCTGTTCGACTGGTGGGTGTCCCGCCTCCCGGCATCGCCGGCGCTGACGCCGCCGCAGAGGGTCCGGTCGGATACCCCCCCCCCCCTTTCCCAGCTCTCCTTCCGTTCACGTCATCGCAGCCCGGACGCTGCGACGCTACACAGATGAGCTGGAGCAGCATACAACGGGATGGGATGGGATGAGGGTAATAGAGAGGGCGGATAACACTCAAGACGCTCGGCTTGGTAGAACCTGGGGGGGGGGGGGGTAGGGGTACCGCAACCCTGGAATGACAGATAATGCTGCTCAAGTTTTGAAGTGACAGCAGCGCGAGGTGACGTCTCGGTTTACATTTACGCTACTGCGCGCAGCGTCGAGTGCGCTATCACCTCAAAACCGGCTGTCGGTCGAAGGTCAATCTCGTGAGTCGACCGCCAGATGGTGCTGGCTGGCGGTGAGGACAGCCGGCCCGCAGGTGGTGTGGGGGGCGGGGACGGGCGGCGGTGCGGCCGCCACACCATGAACTGGCCTGTGTCGGCAGGGCGCGGCCGCACTGCGGGACTGCCCCGATGCGGATTTTGGGCTTGTTTCTGTTCCGACCAACTGGCATAGCTTGCTGACAGTTTACACAATGGCGGCGTTTATATTCGATAGTATTCATTATGTTACGGAACCTAGCTTGGAAGTGCATAAAGTAAGATATATCTGTGCTATTCCTGTGGCAATAGAAGGTCGGCTCAGGGTGGCGTAGAACCGGGATTTTAAATGACATCCGTACTAGTGTATTTGGGCTCAGAGGCCGGCGGGCCGTACTTCTTCGCCCTGCTGACCCCCGGCTGACCCCCGCTGAACCCCGGCTGACCCTCAGCGGAACCCCGGCCGACGTCCGGCTGACCCCCGGCTGACCTCTGGCTGATCCCTTGCCGGCAGCGAGCACCGCGAGGACCGACATATGCTCTACATCGTGATGGAGAAGGGCGACACGGACCTGACAGCCCTGCTCCGCTCCTACACCAAGCTCAACGAGGTGGACGCCAACATGTGCAAGTTCTTCTGGGGCGAGATGCTGCGCTGTGTTGACGTGATACACAAGGAAGGTGCGTCGCTCGCGGCGCGTTGCTTGGAAGGGTGCTGGATTACGATCTACGAGGCGTGCGGGTTTAGCGGGCTGCGGGAATAGCGGTGTATGCGTGAGATGTTGGTCTGATGAAAGCAACAATGCTGGCTGGGCGATTTTCGTTGGGAGTTGAGGTTGCTTTGTGTTGCATTGGTTAGTTAGTAAGCACGTGTTCACGCCCATGTCCGTCTTTATTTTGTATGATGCGTCCACACAATGACCATTTGCTTATACCCAATCAGTACACTGACAAAAAATATCCGCATTTAGCGCCACACGAAGGCGTGCACCCATTCATTCACGAAGCCAGTGATTGCAACCATAGAAAGCGAGGTGCCGGTTAGCGAGTGATGTTGCCAGTGGGGGCGACGGTATGCGCAAGCTGAAGAAAGACATTAGTACCATGTCCAACTGGTCGTTTTCTGTTTCGGTATGCCCATCAGTGGAACAGTCATTTCTCACGTCGTGATTGAGGGCCCGTTCGTCTCTTCGGTATGGCTTCGGACATGCGCGTGGATCAGTTTCAGTCCTGGGCGCTGCATGACCTACAGCAGTCGATGCGCCCTGAAACCCCAAATCATTATCATCATCATCAGTTTCAGTCTCGCTTTTCTGTATCTTTCGTGGGTCGTCCGCTTTGACCGCACTCCTCTGCTAGCTCTGCGCTTGTGTTGGCGGTTGTTGGACACCGACCGGGGTCTGTGTCTCAATCGTGTTGGTTGGCCCCGTTGCACTGTAATGTGGAGTGTTGAGTCGAGTCGTGTCTGACCTCCGTGAGAGGGTGGTGCTCGGATCTGGCCATCGTTGTCACCGTGCCGGTATTGGTGCCTGGCCGTGGCTGGACGGACGTCGGTGTCCGGTTCCGGTCGGCAATTTGTTCGTGTTGCCTGTCTGAAGCCAGTATGTCAAGGCAAAGTTTAACCTTACGCCAAGCTTTCGTGCGTACTTTGGATTCTGCAAATTACACATGGAGCTTACTTCTCAAAGCCGTCACGTGACCCCTGTGCGAGTGTGTGTTGGGTGTGGTTGTGTCCGGTGCGTCAGAGCCGCGACAGAGCGGCCCGGTATCTCGGCAGGCATCATCCACTCGGACCTGAAGCCGTCCAACTTCCTCATGGTGGCCGGCCGGCTAAAGCTCATCGACTTCGGCATCGCCTCGCAGATCCAGTCCGACTGCACCAGCATCATCAAGGACACCCAGGTGAGACGGTGGCAGAGACGGGGTCATTCGCAGGAGGCCCAGGCCAGGTGACATCAGCGGTGGGTGAAAACGTTCAGGGGACCCCTGGTCAGGTCACATCAGGGCCGAGTGGGAACCTTCGGGGAACCCTTGGTCAGGTGACATCAGGGGTGGGTTGGAATGTTCAGAGGAGCCCCGGTCCAAGGTCAGCACGGACAGCTGGAGAGCCACTGGTCAGGATGCGCAGGCCAGGCGGTATCGTTAAGGACAAGATGGGATCATACACCAGATGTTCGCAGGGGGACGCGTCGTCAGCAGCACACGAATGTGTACACAGCAGGAGGAATGCCGATGGGAGCGCTTCGTCGGGGATGAATAGACTGGGGAGAAAGCTGCATGCTTTACGGACACGGATGGCCGCTGGGGTTGAAGGCGGATTTCTTCTCCCAGTGATGAAGATCTTCTCCATAATGGCCTCGAAAGACAGCTGGAGAGTCATCAGGACTAAAAGTCTGGTCATTCTGTGTGAGCAGTTTTGTTTTGCAGTGTGCTTTTTAATCTTTCCTCATCTATGCGAGGCTCTGCATATGCCAAAGAAGTCAAATTGTGGATTGCAGAGGCATGTATTTTCCACACAGTTAAAAGGCCGCTCAATTTTTTTGTACACAACCTGATGCATGATCATTGGCGATATGACCGCCATAACAACAAATGAGTGAGCCTTGTTCGTGACGATACACTGCGTAACTGCAAAGCACTGGCGAGTCACGCTGTCATGCGGCAGTCGGTTGCACCGTGCCAAACAGTGGCAATATCGATGTATTGGTCGGTAATTCAGGCTCCGTCACAGCACCGGCGAGATACACCGCTCACCCCGTGCCGTTCATGCGCTCAAGGTGACCTTGGGCTTCCGATGTTCACCGGCTGTCGTATCCCGCCCGCAGGTCGGCACCTTCAACTACATGAGCCCCGAGGCGATCGAGGCGCAGCAGGTCACCCGTAACGGCTCCTCCCAGACCGCCATCAAGGTGCGTGCCGCCGCTCCGCGCCCCGCTCGTGTCACGTGCCCGCGCGGTGTTTATGTGTTCAAGCTACGAGGCACATCACGTCTCGTGTGCAGTCTCGCTGACGGTGCTGCCCACAGACCACCGCGAGGCTTTCCGAGTACCCGGGATTTACGCTGGGCTGTCCCTCGCTTGCGATGCGGGCGTGCTGACCGGGCGAGTTATGGTGCTCTGGTCGGAAACGTGTTGCAGTGGAGTACTCGGAATGCCCGCCCTCGCGTCACGCAGGCGGGACATGTGGCATGGCTAGGATGACATGAACGTCAGGCTCCTACGTCTTATAGACTGAGGAGCGCCGCAGACGGTCTGTCCGCGTATCTCAGGGGCGTGGGAACGGGCTCCGCGACATTAGCGCTACAACAAAAACTCCTAGCGCCAGCAGTGCTACGACATAATTTCTACTAGCAATGCTTATACCCACAAAGTTTGTGCTGGGAAAACTTATACTCGTCATTACTTGTGCAGTCATTACTTACATACATTACTTCTATCGCAAAAACTTATACGCGACATTATCGCTAGATGACAAAACTCATCTTTCAAGAAATTATACCCGACATTACCTCTTCCGCAAAAACGTATCCAGCCTTTGCATATGAACGGCATTGCTTTCTATTGAAAAGCTTATACGTGACAAGTGCTACAGCGAAAACCCGTGGACAAGTCTGTTGTATAATGATGACGAGTATAAACTCTTGCAGCACAAGTTTTGTCGTATGTCACTCATGTCGTGTATGAGTTTTTGCAGTAGAAATAATGATGCGTATCAATAAAGACAAACTTTTGCAGTAAATAATGACATGTATAAGCTTTTGAAACACATTATATCGTGTGGCGCTCATGCCGTGCATAAGTCTGCAGTAGACGTAATGCCGCGTATAAGTAAAGTTTGTATAAGTTTTTGCAGTGATGCGATGTCGCGTATAACTGATTTAGCAAGTCTGCCGGCAGGAGGTTTTGCCGTGGCACCAATGTCGTGTCGTGGGAGCGTGGATATCATATTCTCACTTCCCATGGGCGTGAAACGATGGGCGGGCGTGATATCTGTCCTTTTATCTTATTGGCGTGATGTCCGTCCTCACGTCTCCCGGAAGTGGTATCACCCTTCACGTCTCACGGGCGTGATGTCTATCCTCACGTCTCACGGGCGTGATGTCCGTCCTCACGTCTTACGAGCGTGATGTCCGTCTTAACGTCTCACGGGCGTGATGTCCATCCTCACGTATCACGGGCGTAATGTCCGTCCTCACGTGTTACGAGCGTGATGTCCGTGTTAAGGTCTCACGGGCGTGATGTCCATCCTCACGTCTCACGGGCGTGATGTCCATCCTTACGCCTCACGGGCGTGATGTCCATCCTCACGTCTCACGGGCGTGATGTCCGTCCTCACGTCTCACGGGCGTGATGTCCGTCCTCACGTCTCACGAGTGTGATGTCCGTCCTCACGTCTCACGGGCGTGATGTCCGTCCTCACGTCTCGCGGCCGTGATGTCCGTCCTCACGTCTCACGGGCGTGCTCCGGCGGTCCGCAGATCAGTCGCCGCTCAGATGTGTGGAGCCTCGGCTGCATCCTTTACAACTTCGTGTACGGCATCACGCCGTTCGGCAACATCAAGCAGGTGAGGCCGGCTGCGCAGTGTGCTCATCTGCCCCTCCCCCCTGCCTTTGCGCGCGTTCTCCCGGAGCGCAGGTCTCGCCCCTGTACCAGTCCACCCCTCACCCAGCCTACACGATCAACATACTGCGGACCTTAGCCGCCACATATTGCCGGGTGGTTCGCGGTCCTCGCCAGACCAACAGTTCGGCCCCGTTCGTGAACTGCTCCACCCGGCGCCGGTCAGCGAGGCGGCTGGCGCCTGCCAGTGGCCAGCGTCCGGTGTCTGGCCGGCTTGCCGTGCGACGTCGCGATCAAGGGCTGAGTGGACGGAGTCTTCCGCCGCAAACGACTTGCCAGTCAGACGATCGTGACGTCACGCCATCATGGTGGCTCCGTAGCGAAGGCAGCGGCGCCATTGCCAGTGCGGAATTATTTGCGCGGCAACTTCGTATTTGCAGCGCCTCAAGGTGCTCAGGTCAAGGTCAAATCGCTGACCTGGCCACGTGGTGCTCGCGAGCGTCCTGTCAATTTGGAAGTGACTGGAGCCATTTCGCCGCCTGCCTGTCTATTTGCGACCCTCAGTTTACAAACGGGGCTCTGGTATCTGTCTATGCTGTCACGTGTCGAACGGGCGCCAGAGGGGCGGACGTGACCGCGGTGCGGGACCGGCCGCCGCACCCAGCCAAACACGAGACGTCCGCGTCGACCCCCGGCTGCGGCGGCGGCGCCTCAGATGTCACGTGACGCTGGTAACGCTGTGTCCGCCGCAGGTTATGGGCAAGCTGATGGCGATCATCAACCCGAAGCACAGCATCGAGTTCGGTCCGCTGTCAGACTGTCACCTGCTGACCGTGCTGAGGAGCTGCCTACAGCGGGACCCGTACCGGCGGCCGAGCATCGACGAGCTGCTCAGCGACCCGTACCTGACCGGCTGTCGGTGTCAGGTGGGTGGGTGTGCTCCTCCGAACCCATACCTGACAGGCTGTCGGTGTCAGGTGGGTGGGTGTGCTCCTCCCGGCCCGTGCCTGACCGGCTGTCGGTGTCAGGTGGGTGGGTGTGCTCCTCCGGGCCCGTACCTGACCGGCTGTCGGTGTCAGGTGGGTGGATGTGCTCCTCCCGGCCCGTACCTGACCGGCTGTCGGTGTCAGGTGGGTGGGTGTGCTCCTCCGGACCCATACCTGACCGGCTGTCGGTGTCAGCTGGGTGGGTGTGCTCCTCCGGGCCCGTACCTGACCGGCTGTCGGTGTCAGGTGGGTGGATGTGCTCCTCCCGGCCCGTACCTGACCGGCTGTCGGTGTCAGGTGGGTGGGTGTGCTCCTCCGAACCCATACCTGACAGGCTGTCGGTGTCAGGTGGGTGGGTGTGCTCCTCCCGGCCCGTATCTGACCGGCTGTCGGTGTCAGGTGGGTGGATGTGCTCCTCCCGGCCCGTACCTGACCGGCTGTCGGTGTCAGGTGGGTGGGTGTGCTCCTCCGAACCCATACCTGACAGGCTGTCGGTGTCAGGTGGGTGGGTGTGCTCCTCCGGACCCATACCTGACGGGCTGTCGGTGTCAGGTGGGTGGGTGCGTTCCTCCGGAGCCCGTACCTGACGGGCTGTCGGTGTCAGGTGGGTGGGTGCGCTCCTCCGGGCCCGTACCTGACCGGCTGTCGGTGTCTGGTGTGCGCCCTAGAGAATCTAGCCTCTCAAGAACATATGACGGGTGTCAGGACTCGTGCACAAAAAAAATCGAACGAAAATGGTCGTAAGCGATAATCATCGATGGGATAAAGGTCATGGGGAAAAAAGTAAAATGGCTTGAAAGTCTACCGGAATAAAATTGGAAAAGTAAAAAATGCCCCAGTCGAACTGGAAAAGATTGCATGGGGCGAAAGTTAAGAAACAAGTCAGACTGAAAGAAGTTTAACGGTCAAAACGTCCACATGCTGTGAGTGCCCTGCTAACTTATCTATACCCACGGAAATTCCCTGCGTATTGCGAGTTCAGTTTGTTGCGTCAGTTCTGGTGCTGGACAGATATGTACGTGGTTCCCAATGTTGGTTCGTAGTTCCCGCTTCCCCCTTCTGAAAACGAGACCTCGGAGCCTTGGTTCCGGTCAGTTGGTTTATGAACCCCATCCCCTGCCTCATGGTCCTCACTGGTTTATTCGCAAATGCAAATATGGGTTCCTCCACAAACACCAAAGTCTGCGCTGTTGAGTGTAATAACGGAAGTCGCAATCTTCAGCGTGGCCTTCCATCCATTCTGATTTACAAGGGGTCGTTCAATGACTAGTAGCTGCAATGTGTCGCCCGGGCTCATCGGGGACTCGGCGTGGATAGGCATCTGGGTCACAGGGGCGTCTGCTGGGTGACGGAGACGTCTGCTGGCTCACGGAGACGTCTGCTGGGCCACACCCGCCTGCTCGGGTCGCGTCAGGTCCGGGACGTGCGACTTGGCCGCGCTCCGGCCGCGCCGTAGCCGGCCGCCCATGACCCGCCCACCCCTGCTGTCTCCGCAGTGCCAGCGGTGAGGGCCGGCGTCGCCACCTCGGCCAGTCGAGTCAGCGCCGCCGGGCGAGAGCGGATCTTGCCGCACCTGTACAAAGCCGGCCCGCCTCTGGCGCGTGGGCGCAGAGGCAGCGGTGAGACCTTGTTGATGCTGTCCAGGCTGGCCCGCGCGGCCGACCAGAACGTTATTGTGCGGCACATGATCTGGGAGTTGGCCGGGCTCGCTTCACTCTAGTGCATGTAGCCAGCCGTGGTCTGTATAATACTGTGTGGCTTCGCCAGTAGTGTGCATCCATCGTCTGTCAGTGTGTAACTCGAATGCCTACGTGCTTACGCCTAACAAAACAGCGCTGCGATCAGAGCAGAGACTGCACTGCGCTGTATCTTTATCAATAAACGCTGGAAACTGCGTCGATACTGCTTTTTTGTCACCATCCAGCAGACTGTTGGCTCGATAATGTTACGAAACATATTGACATGCGATACTTGTACGTGTGTTGTGCTCATGGCCGTCGTTGCGGCTGCATGGGGCGTCTGCGCCGGCAGTGGGTGGGCGAACGTTCAGTCTTCGCTACGGATACCTTCGACAAAGTCTGCCGTCCAATATGAAATCGTGTGCGTGGCGTGCAGCGCTCGCAAACACTCGTGTCTGGCGGGTCCGCGCTTTCTCCCACGGCTCGTCGACACGAGCGTCCCAACAGCGGACTCGTCCATGCCCGGCGTCGGGTTCAGTAATGCCATGTCCATGCTGGGTGTCTCAGACAGCGTACCCCAGCGTCGTGCTGCCGTCGCGGCCGGGGAGGGGTCGCTGCCGGCTCGGTCACGACCCTCATCGCGCAGGCCAGTCCCACCTCCACTCCATCCGCGCGCGCCGCCGGTCTGCCTGCCGGCGCGGCCGCTCGGCCGCTCGCACCGCCTCAAACGCCGGCACCGCTAGAGAACGCCTCGTGTATTCCCGCACTCGCCGCGGCCGCGCCCGCCGCCGGCGCCCGCTCACTGGGCGCCGCTGATGCGGTGATGCTCACGCAGCCGGATGCCGTTGATGAGGATGAAGCCCTCGGCGTCCTTTGGGTCGTAGTCGCCCTGCACGTCCATCGACACCAGCTGCTCGTTGTACAGGCTGACCGGCGCGTCCCGGCTCAGGATTTGCACTGGAACAGCGCAGTACGGCTGGGGTGTGGCGCAGACACGGGTCAGAGGCCGTCCGCCACGGTCGGGGCGCTGGGCTCATGTGTAGCTGCTCGCTCGTGTGAGGCGCACGGCACGGTAGCCGTGCTGAAGCAGTGCCGACGAAATGAAAGGTGCGGGCTTGCGAAGCAACCAAGAAACCTGGTCGTCTCTGGTTGCCCAACATGAAGATTCCAAGAAGCCCATTTCTGTGGCGGCGGCTCCGCCGCGGTCTGTTCTAAGCGTTTTGTAAGTATTACATGTCATCCGGTGGATGGCGATGTGTTCGCCAGCAGACCGATATCTCATTCTTCACTCACTAGTTTTTCATTTATCCTTCAATATGCTCACCTCGACAGCCGTGACTACATCGCAGAGAGAACTTACATGAAAATGCACGAGAGAAAAGCTCGTTAAAACTACGGCGTTCTGAACTACCGAACCGCGTTCTCTGGGTCGGCGAACGGGTCGTCACCGCCCTCTGACCTGAGCCCTTGTAGAGTTTGCAGCGGACGGTGCCGGTGACCGGCGTCTGGGAGGCCCGCACACAGTCAAACAGATAGAGGCCTTCGGGGCTGAACCAGAACCCTGCCGGCAAACAGAGCCGTCGCTTCCGTCAGCGACCGCGGACGACGCGACCGTCGGTCACGGGCGCCCCGCTGGCCGGGGCTGTCCTGGTCACGGGTGCCCCGTTGGCCGGGGCTGTTAGTGGTCACGGGCGCCCCGCTGGCCGGGGCTGTCCTGCTCGCGGACGCCCCATTGGCTGGGGTTGTCATGGTCACGGGCGACAGCTGGTCACACGTCCAGGGTACAAACCACGCGGTGCTAAGCGATGCTTGGGTATACAACGCGAGCCGGACCGGCCGATAGGGGGCGCCCCGCCGCAGCTGGGAGGGGACGTGACTGGGTCGTCCGACGTCCCAGACAGTCCGATGGAGGACAGTCCGATGGAGAAAACCTGTCTCGATGAAATCTTGAGTCAACACGGACGTGGGAATTCTGATTAGCTAACAAGTGGCCACTGACACGGCTGGGGCACGCGAGCGCTGTGTTTGTCAGTGGGACGTGTTGATGTTAGGACTAACGTGGCGCGATGAAACGCTCCACAAATATTTCTGTAATCACTTGAGAAAGCATAGTGAGTGAGCAATTTTCCGTTTGCTAGGAAGTAAAAAAGCCTGTATGTAGGAAAACCTTGATAACTCAGATACCACACAGTGCAGATGCTTTATCGCAGAACTGCGGTATAATCACATATGGCGACTGCGATGACGTTTGTGTGACATGTTTGCTGACATCTACCACGTGCGTCGTTCTGCGGTGGCGCCCACCCTCACCGCAGTAGACGAGCTTGGCCAGCTTGGACGCCAGATCCTCCTTGAAGTGGAGCACCTCCCGGTCCATGGTGAACGTCTCCAGGTCCAGGTGAGCCTGGTACAGGATCTCACCGCCCGGACACTCGTAAACGCCGCGGCTCTGCCGACAGATGGGCCCGTTATCGGGGATGTCGGCACCCGGGTACCCTTTCACTCGCAAACTCCGCGACTCTGCAAAGAGATATGCCCAGGAGATAGGACTCCGTCAACTGGACACCTAAACTCCGCTTCTCTGAAATTTGACGCATCCGGAAAAGAGGGCGTCTCCTCCCATATGTTTACCACCCAAACCGTGCCTTCGCTTCAAAAGCCATGATACGCTCGTAACATACAATGCATTCACACCCGGACGTCTGGACGTCAGTGTAAGTCCGTGACGCCGACACGTACCTGTGACCTCTCCCCCCAAAGATCGTCAACCTCGGACGGACCGACATATGTGGTGCCGGGCATACCCGACCTGGCGTTTAAGGTGTTCCCCTCCCCCCCCCCCAGGCCGACGCCTCCCGCCTGACTGGTCGACACCTACGCTGGGCTGACCTTGAGCCCGACGAATCTGTTCTCGACGATGTCGATCCGGCCGACGCCGTGCTGGCCGCCGACCGTGTTCAGGTACTCCAGCATCTGGCGCGGCTCGGTGTACTCGGTGCCCGTCGTGTGGTCGGTCACGCACACCGGCACGCCTGGTGATGTAGCCTGGTCAGGCCCGTGACCCCACGCTCATGCTGGATAGTCGCGCCACAGGACGAGGCGCGGATGTCCCCACATTCCTACGATAGATATTAGGTCGCAATATTTCTCGCGCACATTTCATAAACATTTGACCGCAATGTTCCTGTCAGTTACCTGCCGGGCTCCCGTACACAAGAGAAGACGGTCTGTGTCAGTCGTCTTAACATCTCACGCGGAATTTGACGGCACATTTGAGATGTCCTTCATCCCCGCGCACGAACCCCACTCGACCCGGTGCCGAGCACCTCTCCCGAATCCGACGCCCTCCGGCGCCTGACCGTGCTCGAAGCGGACGCTGAGCTGGTGGGGCGCGTCGGGCGCCTTCTCCGGGTCGCAGGTCATCTGGTAAAGGTCGGCCGGAGCCGGCGTGCTCGGCTTCTCCAGCACGCCAGACTCGTAGCTGCCGGCCGGACGCCGGGGAACAGGTCACGCGCACGGCAGGCATGTATATATCGGGTTATAAGAAACATTTTAGGAACTTAATTTGGCTGTTGGCCATCTCTTTCGGCTGAGGCATCTGTCAAAGTGCGTTGGGTTTTGTTCCTCTCCGTTGGTCATTGCTTTCTGACGTAGTGGAGATCGATCATATTCATTGCCATGGCTGATTTTCCTCTGAATTCAGTAACGTCCGTTTCCCGTGTTGTAGACGTCTACGCAACACTAAAGCCAATGAAAAGAAATGAAAAGGTCTTTTCATCCAAACAAAACACCGGGTGGAGACCAAAAATAGCAATGCCGAGCACAATACGGACAGCAATGCGTGAAAAAAGAATAAACTCCTTTGACAACATTGTTCCACTGTCCTTCAGTTCACGCCGCAGGACAGCTTGGCATACGCTCGGGTTACCTCATCAATTCCGCCCGAGATATACTGATGCACTGAATGTTTTACTGTACAGTGACCAGACGTTTGGCTGGCTCATCGCGACCGCCGACGCTCGAGTCATCGTGACATAACGTCCTCAGCTGCTGCAACCCTCGATACATAGCCTCACGATTATTCTTATGCTATACACAATGCCACGAACAGTCGAGGCATTCACTCAGCAGAAGCCTTTCTGTGATCGCCTGGAAAGCTGACCTGACACGGACCCAGCTACCCTGATGTGATCTGACCCACTGACCTGATGTGGAGGAGGTTGGCGTCCATCGACCACGGCTGTTTGGGTGTGACGGGCAGTGGGATGCCGTTCTGCTTGGCGTACTCGAAGAGGTCGGTGCGCCCCTGGAACCTGTTGTAGAACTCTGGCATTCGCCACGGCGCCAGAATCTGTGGGACGAGCGGACGGAGACGTCAGGAGGGTGGGACGAGATCTGAGAGAGACGTCAGGAGGATGGTACGGAGACCGGAGAAAGATGTCAGGAGGACAGCACGGACACCGGAGAGAGACGTCAGGAGGACAGCACTGAGACCGAAGAGAGACGTCAGAAGGGCGGTACCGAGATCGGGGAGAGACGTCAGGAGGACAGTACGGAAACCGGAGAGAGACGTCGGGAGGACAGCACCGAGACCGGAGAAAGACGCCAGGAGGACAGCACCGAGACTGATGAGAGACGTCAGAAGGACGGTACTGAGATCGGAGAGGAACGTCAGGAGGACGGTACGGAGACCGGAGAGGGACGTCAGCAGGGGAGGACGGTACCGAGACCGGAGAGGGACGTCAGGAGGACAGTGCGAAGATCGGAGAGAGACATCAGCAGGACGGTACGGAGACCGGAGATAGACGTCAGGAAGACGGTATTGAGACCGGAGAGAGACGTCAGGAGGATAGTACGGAGACCGGAGAGAAGTCAGGGGGATGGTTCGGAGACCGGAGAGAGACGTCGGGAGGACAGTGCGGAGATCGGAGAGAGACCTTAGGAGGACGGTACCGAGGCCGGAGAGAGACGTCAGGACAGTATCGAGGCTGGAGAGAGACGTCAGGAGGATGGTACGGAGACCGGAGAGAGACGTCAGGAGTACGGTACCGAGACCGGAGACAGACGTCGGGAGGACGATATCGAGATCAGAGAGAGAGGCGTCAGGGGGACTAGAGGAGACCGAAGCGTGACTGGGGGGCAGGCGGACTCCGATCAAACGGCAGCGATGTAGCTACGCTACAGGCTTAACGGCTTGGCGCGACCCAGACCCGATCATCACTGATGTTATCTATACCACTCCGCGCGTACTCTCCACGTCAGTCAAGTACATCAAGTGTTTCGGTGTCTGTGCTTTTTATTTGTTTTCTTTAAGTTGCTGTCAATATGCGCAGCCAAACGCGTCGTTAGATCAGACAGAAGTACACTAACGCAGCATACGTCCGTCACAAACAGGTCGTTTGCCGCGACGCGACGCCGGCGCTGGTCGCCGCTGTTTGTTTGCGGCAGGGTGCAGGAGCCCTTCGCCGTAACGCCCCGCCCTCGCCACACCACTGCGCCACGTGTTTTGCTGCAGAACTGCAGTATAATCATATATCGTGGCAGCTGTGATGTTTGTATGATGTGCTGCTAACGTCGGACACATGCGTTGTTCTGCAGTGCAACCCAGGCTTACCGCAGTAGACTTAGTAAAATACGGGGCGTGGTGTTAGGAATAATGGTAGTTAATAAAGCTCAATGGTGCTTATGCAACCAGTATCAATAATTACATTAATAATAACAGTGATGAAATACAGGCCGTAGCCCATGGCACGCGGGGAAGCACCGGGTGAATCGGCGCAGGCGGGGCCGCCCGGCCTGTTCCAGCGGTGGTACACCACGGGAAGACCAGCCCGCGACGCGGAAGCTCTCGCAGCTGTCGCACCTTGTGTGCGTAAACCAAATACTGACTTCACCCAAACTCTGTCAGGAGCTCAGACGCGGGATAAAACGGTTGATTTCTTCGGGTGACCCGAACTAAGTCATGAAGCAGGACACTGTAGATTAAGTTCTAAAAAGGTGTGATGCATGTAAAATCGCGAGCACAACGAACGTCCCAATAAATCAACCAACTCCTTTCATGCCATCGAACACTAACCAGACAATTAAAGGTGCTCATTCCCCATTCATAAACACACTCGACGTACCCGCCCGCTCGCGTCGTAGCCGGAGCCCACGTGGAGCCCGCCGCCACTGACCTTGATCTGCGGTGCGAGGGCGGTCACGCCCAGCTCGAAGCGGACCTGGTCGTTGCCTTTGCCGGTGGCACCGTGGCTGATGAATGAGGCGCCGTTGACGATGGCCGCTCGCACGATTCCTGTCGGGTGTGGAACCGCTTGCCACATTCGGAACACGATAACGAAAACATCGCCGTGACATGCCACACGTCGAGAACGCGGACTGCACCCGTCACCACGGACTGTCGCGTTGCCTGGGAAAGTAATCAGCGCTTCAAATTCAAGCTGCTTTAGCCACTCCCTTTCCGTTAAAAGCGGCCGAACGGCACGGCGCGGACTGGCCGGCCGCCAACGCCGCCGCCTCGCCCCCCCCCCCCCCCCCCCTCCCGTACCCTGGACTATGCACGGCCGAGCTATTGAGGTCCCCAGCAGGTAGCGCTTCTCGTAGATGAGGCCGCACTGCACGGCCGGCCAGATGAAGTCGGTGACGAAGCTGTCCCGTTGGTCATCCACGATCACCTGCGTGGTCGGCGTCAGGGGCTGGTCAGGGACCGCGCCGGGGATATCTCGCCAGGGACCGTGGCGAGATTAATCCAGCAGGCACGGTGGTATCCGTATGGGCCCCGGAGAAGCTAGTGTCACTGTAGAAACTGGGGGAGAGGAACAGAGCTTCCGCCAAAAGCTACAGCTTTTGCTATGGTAATCGACACGGACGCAACGTATCGCGTCAGAAACTCGTGGTGGTTGAGTTATATCGGAAAGTTGGGACTGTTGACGCACTAATAATTGTTCATTCGGTGGCGCTAAAAGAATAAATTCAGCATCATTTTTAAAGATAAATTTATTGCTAATTCAAAATTTATTACAAAATTTGTCATCGAATTTATCATTAAATTTCGGCGGTGTTAAGCCAACTTCTCTGCGTGCAAACTGAAAAGACTACAGACGAATAAGTGCGTGCCATCCATAAAGCCTGCTGCTATATAAAACAGGAATTCCGGGTTATGGAGCCAAACATAAGTTATGCAGAAAAACTCAATGCCCGACGTCATCGTCTGCTTTAAGTCTACCGAGCAAACCTTGGCGGCGCCGAGTTTGGATGCCTTGGCCTTGGCGGCGACGAAGTCCTCCTCCTGACCGATGTTAGCCAGGTACGCTACCACTTGGTAGCCCTGCTCTCGTAGCCACACGAGGATGCACGAGGTATCAAGACCACCTGAATAGGCCAGGACTACCGTCTGCTGCTGCCGGCTTTCCCTGAGCGGCGCCATCTTGTCCGGCAGGTCGCGGCGTCAGCTAAGGTCAGGGGTCACGTTCGTCGAGCGCGCGCGGCCGCCTCCGTCGGCTCCGAGAGCGGAATGTGCTCGGCGGCCGGGCGTCGCTCGTGTAGACATTGGACTTGAGAGCACGTGCTCGCCGCTGGGGAGGGGCGTTCCCGGCGTAGACGCCCCTCAGATGGCGGACCTCGTGGCCGTGACGTCACGCATGAGTGCCGCTGGGCTGCGCAGATGTCATGCACGGTCCATCGCCGCCGATCTGTACGCGGTAGCGGCGGCCGTCGCTCCGAACAGTGTCGTTTGAGGCGTAACGACCTTCATTTCCTTGCGCGGCGGTGGGCAGGTGGCAGGCAGGGACCTCTTCGGGCCACCTGTTGCCTTCTTAAAGCAGACCCGTGCTTTGTGTCATGCGGGAGTTCTGGAACGAGAGCCAGGCGCGGGCGTGGGATAGTGGGGGTCGAGACGACCCATGCAGATGCTGCAATCAACTATCAGTGTTCACGATGCACCGCGGCGACAGCTGGCTCCGACGGGGCCTGGTCTGCTGGTTTGCACTGGTTTGCACCGGCTCAGGCCACAGCCCGACGCCAAACGCTCCGGAAATCGGGGGTGGCCCCATGCGCCTCCGTGAACTGAATGCTCGCAATCGCAAATGCAAATGCAAACAGTTATAAACGCACGTGCCGAACGCGTATACAGAGCCTGGGCTGTTAATTTACGTAATTAAAATGCTTAAACGTCATGAGCTGATACGCTGCTATACAGTTACGTGTGCACTATCAGATGTGACTGTCCTTGACGTCGTCCTGACAGGCCTCCGCGTTGTCCAACCTCCGGACGAGCCACCCGGCCACGTCTGTCTGGCGGCGGTGGTCTGACCGGCGCCTCAGGACCTGGTCGGACCCACGTCATGCGGGCCGGCGCGACCGCGACAGGCGATGTGCTTCGTGAACTTAAACATGTTTGTGACGGGTGCTGATGTTACAGCGACGGGACGATCCGTGGAGACTGTCGCCACCCGTCCGCGGTGCCTTGTCGGAGAGGGCGGCCCGTGGCTCACTGCTGTTGCCAGGCCGCCCCCAGCGGGGCACGAGGTCCTCGCGCCTGCTGCTGGCAGATCGTCCACAGGGGCCATGAGGTCGTCATGCCTGCTGTTGCCAGATCACCCCCAGGGGACATAAGGTTCTCGTGTCTGCACTGACTTCACAAAGCTTCTTCTTCGGGGGACCACTGCGCCCTCTCATCACGCCGGAGGCAGTCGTTTCAGCGACACGCTCAGAGTTTTGCTTCTTCGCGTCCGTAGACGCGGAGTCTGGCCACTGGACTGACAGTTCGGGCTCTGCTGGACGGTACGTTCAGAGGTCGCCTCTTCGCGTCCGTAGACGCGGCGTCTGGCCACTGGACGTCCGGGCTCGTCAGTCCGGGCTCCGCTGGACGAAGACTGCCAGCGCGTCACAGTCATCCTCACCCCGCCGAAGGCCCCTTCAATTTCCTCAGAATATCCAATGGCGTCGTCGCTACCGGGCATGAATTTATCTCAGCAACGTTGTCAAAGCGCCTGACGACATGCTGGTTCTTGACAAGGGCTGCGTAGCCCGTGATGAGTGAGTCCGGGACACGCTGCGGTGCCTCCGGGGGCATCAGGTCGCTATGGAGAGGACCAGACCGCCCCTAGTGGAAGCAGAAGTAGACCATCATGGATATCAAACATCCAGTTGTGGCTTCAAAGTATACTGGAGGTCTTCAGGCTAAGATTATCTTTACCCAGGCCATCCGATACCCATAACCCGCCCGCCACCCATTCCTAATCAGTTATATCTTCTCTTTGCCCATCCGTTTGCATTTTTCAGCGCAAGTTCTGAATTTAAAGAAGGCTTCAGAAAACATCGAAGCAAAACTTATCCTTTTCCGTCGATGATTCTAATAATAGTGTGAATGGAACAGCTGCGTAGCCAGAGTCTTGGTAGGGGGAGGCTTAAGGTGACAAAGGGCCCTCTGATGGCGACCCGCCCCTCCCCCCCGCCTCAAATAATCAAATCACCGTGTATGATTGATTTGAATTCAAAGGTACGATTCCCTTCCTTTTATTACTCTTTTTGTTTTTTTCCCCCCAGACAGATGACGAAAGTCACCGGACTAAGCTATTCGGCCCGCATTTTGAAGTAAATAAACTGAAGGAACCATGCTTTAAATGGCTTCATTTTCGTTAAGCTTCATAACGTTGTGGCAAAGTCATTGGTGCACGGTGAGTTGAGCGCCCGTTCCATCCTGGCGATTAGATGCTTTAAATCGTTCATTTTACCGCTGACAAGGATCTGCGTGCCATCCGTGGTTTGGATGACAGTGACGTCATGAGACTGGCAAAGGCTAAGCCGCTGGCAGACCGGATGAAATAGATGCAGCTCAGAGAGCTGCCCTGAAAAACGCCGCTTGAGCTGTTTCCTTATTGGGACGGAAGCGGCGAGCCGGCCGATCCCCGCACCTGACTCTGTGTGTGGCCGACCAGTTAACTTCGGAGCCAAACCGCATCAACACCATGCGGAGAAAGTTTTCAAGTAGTTTTTCTTAAGGTATTACATTGAAGCATATGAAAAGGCTTAACAGGACAAGACGAGAAGTTTCCCATCTTTCCATGGCCTGCATTGCGTTGTCAGTGATGGTGTGAAACGCTGATTCCGTTAAAATCTTTTGACGGCAGCTGTGTTGGGCGTCAGACAACAATCTTGTTGTTTCGGGATAGAAGGATGGCTGTTTATGGACTGCTCGTTCGACCACTTTCATAATGGCAGGTGGAATATATGTAGGATGTGTGTCAGCTGGGTTCTTGGACGCTTTTCCTTGGGTATTGGTGTGACGAGTGCGTGTTTCCATGCAAGGGGAACAATACCGGTGACCAGGCTAACGTTGTCATCGTCAAGTAGCATAGGACTCTGAGATCATAGGACAAGTGATCTGAGAGTTACATTCAGCATGACCACATCAATCGGTTACACCTCTAAGGGAGTGTTCTACATCTATATGGAGTTTTAAACTGAAACAGCCATCTTGAAGACCTCTCGGTGCTGTCCACAGCCCTATCTTTCTTCAGACCTAAGCCCGTCTAGTATCTGAGCTACACGCCCGCGAAAATGGGGAGAGCTTTTCGGGAAGAGTATTTCAAAGTCATCTTGGCATTCATGGTGTCACAATAACGCCATCCAAATTCTGTCATTGCATCCATTATGCTGCGGTGAAGCCCAAAACACAGAACGGTTGAGGCGTTCGTGTTTGGCGTTCGTTAGCACAATTTCAAGATGTAACGGCCGACAATGAGCTCTAAATCAATGTTGTGCGAGGCACGATGACGCAATCAAACCATGACGCATTGACGAGCATATTTACTCAACAGAAAATTGTGCTGTCTAGGGCAGTTTTTTCACTTAAAAGTATGCCTATAGTTGCACGTAAGCGTGTTTCGTCATATCTGATGCTTGCTCCAATATCTTCAAATGTGAAACATTCCCTTTAATCGTGCTTTATGTAACACGGCTCAGGCGTGTCGGCTCTGGTGCTGTCGCAGCCGGTACGCTGGCAGCTGTAGTGGGCCCACTGCGACATAGCAGTCGTTTAGGGCATCCGGCGCGATGGTGAGCGTTTCACACTGCTGCTGCTTACGTGGCCTATCACGGGCCGGAGCACTCGCCACAGAGCGCTGCGATCGCCCCAGGCTGTCTCCCGCCCCTACAGCGGTCGCCAGTCGCGGACAGCGGCGCGGCACAGTTGGTTCGCGCGCTTGTACTCGAGGCGATTGTTTGCCGCCAGGACCGCGCGGCAGCCCCCGCAGCAGCTGCTGGGGTTCCGTGGTCACAGTCTGTGGTTTCTGCTGCTTGGTGCGCATGTGTCGGAGCGGCACTACAGTTTCCAACTGCTGCAGGAATAATTGCCGGGATTCGTGCCACTTCATGTCAGGGTTTGTCAACGCAGCGACGAGGCCCATGTGGATGCTCTTGTTATCAAGACGCATGGTGATGCGCGTGAAATCGTGAGGGTCGCCGTAATGACGCCGCGTCACTCCGCTCCTGCGCGCGAGATCGGCACGGTTGGTAGTGGTTACATCCAGCAGAGTTCACTGGGCGATAGGTGTGATGGACACTGCTGGTCACATGCGTGGCGTACGTGGAGAATGTCCGGAGCAGGATGTGATCTCCGGTGCTATGTCGAACTCTCAACAAACAGCTGTCGAGATCCCCAGCTATCACCTCGTGGATAACTGACCAGCATGAACTGCAACCTAGTATTCTAGATCGTCAAAATCAACAGCTATCTGTCGCACGCTGCTGTTAAGCACGCGGTTCACATTTGTTGCTAGTACTGACTGATGTTTGTTGAGGTGTACTAATAGCCAAACAAGATCTAACTCAGGTGTTTGCGAACCAGCATTGTCACACTCCCTATCTATCTTCGGGTAGTTTCTAATCGCTTAGTCAAAAGGCCCTCTGACTGACATTTGGGGGCCGGGGTCTGAAGGCTGGGGCCCCTTGATGCGGCTTTCGGTGAGCCCTTCGTGTCCTTCGGGCCTCAAATCGAGCCCTTGATCGTCGGTCCCGAAGGGAGGGGGGGGGGGACACGTGAACCCTGTGCCTCCCCCTTCCTGCACCGTTGGAATGGAATCAGTTATGACTAAAAGAAGCGCAAGCAGCAGGTTGGGTGGTATTTCCTGAAGTATCTGCCTGACATTTTGTTAACGCCTTACCCATATGCTGGGCTATCTTCACCCGTGCTTGTATGAAGAAATTGTTACGCGCTGTACCCATGATCTACCCCCAATGATCCAGAATCTAAGAATACCAATCATTAGATCCATGAGCTGTGCCCAGTCTGACACGTTACGTATGTGATCTGGGCACCCGTGGGTACCTAACCCGTGAAGGCCTCTAAAGCAGACGCATCCAAAATGAGGATAATCGCAGCTTTTCGACTACCTCCAACATCGCACAGCTGTGCCGTTTTATCGCAATGACTCAGCAGCTAGCGGGCTTCAGTTCTGACATCGTGGTCACTGCCGAACCCCTGAGGCATTTCGTAAAGGATAACGAGTGTTTTTGGACACCAGGGCACCAGGGCACGACATCGCCTTCAACAGCGGCGCCAGGTCTGGCCCACTCTGACCCGGC